GACTGTGTTGAATTTGAAATCGGATTTTGGCTTGATTCTTATAAAAGAAAGCAAGTTACTTTGATGACGATAATGTTGGGTAAAAGTAATGGCCAGTTATGCACTCACCATCTAATCAAGAAAACAGCAAAATTTTCAAAAAAGCGCGTTATGTAAAGTGAACAGATACTCATCTTTCCAAAAGAACCCTGTGTAATAGAACTGCAAAAGATGCCCATATTTATGCTTAAAGTTCTCCAAGAAACGTTATCTTATAATAATATATTATTCATTTTGCTTCACCACAATCTTGAATCCGATTAATTGCTATCAATCGTTCTTTTCTATTCTCAATTAACTTATTCTATATCAGTTAATACTCGTTAATCTGGGAAATTTCAGATCCAGATCCACTTCTCACCAAAGTTGGCTAAATTTCTCTTTTAGAGGTTCCAAAAATCTTCTAACCCATTTCCCAAATCCTCCCAAAATATTACTTAAATTTAGTTTTTCATAAAATAATTCTTATATATATAATTTTCATCAAACGAAATTCCTGATTCAACAAATATTGATTGTTGTATTTAATTTATATCAATTAGTAGAGACACCTTTGGAATCAATAAAAGCTTGAAACACGCGCACTTACATTCCAGGAAGTATCGATATCTTTATCACACTTGAAAATGGAAGGGTATCGATACCTTTATATATTTTGATCAATAACATAATTATTCAAACATTAAATTTATTCGTGGATAATTTCATATTTTAACTCCATGATTGAAAAAGTTGACGACTGTTTTATTTATAGAAATTTCATATGTAACAAACAACGTAAATGAAATAGCCCGAAACTGAAAAAAAAAATGTAAAGATCTTAAACAAAAATTACCGACGTTATCATCAGTATATTACAAGTTCAGGTGATTAGAATTTATTGATTAAAAAATTACTAAACTTTAAAATGTGGAGGTGGGGTAGAATTCGTTAAAAAAACATATTATAATTTGTTCTAGATAGAATGAAAGATGCATGAGAGAACATAATAATAATATATATATATATATATATATATATATATATANTACTTGTAATTAGAACTACTACTTTTGCAGAGCCACTCAACCCTACTCCACCACCTTCACCATTCACTTTTTTCATACACAAATTACATCCACTTGTCTCCTTAAGATGCATGCAACGTCACCTACCTCTCTTTTTCTGCATTTCTGCTATTCAATCATCCAAACAAATCATTATATCTACACATTTTCTTTCACGTATATGTCTACAATTTTCTTGTCATAACTAATCATTGCTTTATTTTACTAACACAAAAAATGTTCACCAAAAATTATCCAAGTTATTTCAAACACGCGCTCCTTTTATCATCATGCATACAATATTTTAAGCGTATTTATTCATATTAAGTCTATGAATTTTTCACCACTAATATATCCACATCATATGCATGCAACTATTTGTATTTATACATGATGACAATCTGACGGTTGGTGATCGTTTATTTTTGTTCAAAATTTTATTAGGGTTATAAGGTTGAGAATCTAGGCGACGACATAGTGTTGTGGGTGCGTGGAATAGTCAATACTAGCTATCTAGCCTCTTTGATTAAATTAACTAGCACTACCACATGATTGTACCATTAATTTTCAACACCGAAAAATATCAGTACCACATATTTATGTTAAAACTATAAAATTATACGAATCTCCTTTTTTGTTTAATAAATCTTACTTTCATTTATAATTTTAATCCACAGGAGAGAGAGAGAGAGAGAGAGAGAGAGAGAGTATGTTGTTAAACCTCTTCTTTTAGTCACTTAATTAAATTAATCTCACATTTTAATTAGATTTAATAAAAAATAAATGATTGACAAGTTTCATTATTAAATATGATCTGCGTGTTATTTCTTAATGATACCCAATCATATTCGAGGTTTGTATACGTGACTGATGATGCTTATACTTGTAGAAATCAATTTCCTGCATTTTCAAGTTATCAGAAGAATCTTTGGATGTTGTTTCGTTGTGTGTGTCTATACATATACATATACATATACATACATATATATATATATATATATATATATATATATATATATATAATATATATAATATGATGAAACATGTTGCTCTAATTTGTTAATTTATTAATTAATTAGTAACTGCATTTGAATAAAGTAACGAGCTGAAAACAGTAAAAGGGTTTTCTTGTGAAGCAATTCTTTGGATAATCATTGAATTGAGTTTTTGAAAATACTAAAATACAATAATATTTGTGGGCTCTAGCAACATTGACATGAATCACGAAATAAAATAATTAGGCCAAGATGAAAATCTGGGAGTGCCACGAGTTAGCTTTAAGTGTGAAAAACCACTGTTGATTGTCTGAAAAAAAGAAAGAAAAAAGCTTGAGAGAAGAATTGGATTAATAAATTATATGAACTATAATGATGGTTATGGGATAAAACAATTTATTAAGTGCGAGTATAATAATAAAAATTGTATATTAATTAATTAATCAAGTATAAGGGAAAAGAAGAGACTTAAAAGAGAGAGATTGGAAAAGAAATTATTGGCCCTGAAAGAGAGGAGAGGAATATGAAGCCGTCACTCATTCTCCAACATCGATCTTCCTCTCTTTCACCTAACAAAGTTCCATCCTTAGACAAAAACCCTAACCTTCACAATCATTTCTATCCTTCGCTAAGGATACTCTTAATATTAATAATAATAATAATATTATTATTATTATTGTTATTATTTTATAATAATCTTTTACGTCAAGCCCTATTAAATTAATGACGTGTACCTTCAACATGTGGTACTACTCCTCCATCATTTAGCTTTCAAGGAAAATAACACATCTCGTTAATTAACAACAAATCCATGTTACTCCTAATAAACACTCTTTTCACTTTGCGTAACACTTCTACCCGAACTCTATTATTTCAAAACTATGTGTTTCATTCATTCCTCTATTACCTATTATTATTACCAGTTTAATCTGCATTATTCATTCCTTCATTAATTTCTATAGTTATCTCGTTAATCATTAATCTAATTATCATTCTTGTGAATAAATAAATAAATAAATAAATATATTTATCCACGCCCAGTTTAATCCTAGATTACATGGCACTGTTTCTCCGACAGGATCATATATATTTCATGATTAATGCCTTAGTTCCCCTTTCAATAACCGTCTCTGTTATGTCCCCACCAAACTTCATCTTTGGGACCACTAAGCTCCCATTTCTTGCAATGGCAAAAAAGGTTCATATATATCATCTCATTATAAAAATTTGAAAAGTGTCCAATTTTACAAGTAATCCTGGTGTTTTATATTCCCCGTAGTTTCAATTAATACAAAACATATACGTACATGATCATACTATGTTTTTTCTCCTTTCGTCACATTCCTTCATACATCTATTATTTCCCTCCAAACCTTTATTAATTAAGACAAGTTAAATCATCAGAAACTGATATGTATTATATACATATATATATACTCATAATTAATAATTGCTTGTAAACAGTGAAATTGAAGGTATCTTTAGATTTAAGTATGCGTATGATCAAATAGTTGAAGAAAAGATGGTGAGGGACCCAAGTTGAGTCATCGTCTGCCATATATACTCCCTTCGTTATCATAATTAATTTATATGATACACGCTGTGACAAATACCATTTTTGTCCGCATCTATATTATTATTGCTCCTGCTAGCATAGCACCCCCATCACTCAGAAAGAAAATAAAAAATTAATTTTGAAAAAAATAGAGAAGAAAATTAAAATCCAGATAAACTAGAAAAGGAACATGGCCTTATAATTAGGTTCTGAGAGGACCCCAGATGAAAGACAAATCCGATGCCCCACAGCACGCACATCGTTCCAAACTCTTATTCAGTGATCCAAAATGGAACATATGGGACTTCCAAGTTCATGATTGGCATTAAATTCTAATTCCAGCTATCCATACATGAATTATTTGATGTGTTTTTTTCTCGGAGCTGTCCATGTTCTTCAAGAGGGTTAATCAAATGCTTCCAGTGTTCTCAGAGTCTCATACATGGCATGGTATGTGATTTCTGTGTGTTCGTTAACCTATCCATAAAACAAAACAGATAGAGCCATGGAGAAAGATTCTGCATGCAAAAACACTGCCACGCAAAAGTACTGGAAGGAAAAAAACGAAAAACGTGATTTTGGGATGATCCACAAGTAATTTCCTTGGTTCAATGCACTCTGATTAAATATGTATAGTGCACCATTAGTTAATCAATTAAAGATAATCTAACCAGGAAAAGTGTTGGACTTATTACCAATGAGGTCTCGTTGCTTGACATTTCTGGCCGAAACTTCTCTAACCAGATGCAACCAAAGTTGATCCATTAAAACGTCATTAAGGAAAAGTAATTGAAAATGATTATCAGAATAGCCATGTCATTCGATGGATAGATACAAAAATACGGCACAGCAACAAAATCATTCTCCTCCTTCAAGTTACATGAAAGTAGATTAATTATAGATGCGCCTTTATGTAAATTTTAAGGTAATTAAAAGAAAAAGTAAGATATATACAAAAAGAAATTAAATGTGTTGGTTTATTTTCTTGATAGTACATAAAAACACGTTTTCTTCTTTCTTCTCGCGGAAGATATACAACGGGGGAAAAAATAAAAATTAAAAAAAATATAAAAGGTTAATAATGCAAACAAAAGGGGTATTTTGGAGGGTTTCTCTAATAATTTTACATGGTGTCTTTCTCCTTTCTTTTCTTTTTCCCGTATTTGTTGCAGAAAATTAATCAATCATTCCTCTTTTATTAGTTATTAGATGCTTTCTTGTAACTTTGGTATTTCTTGAAACTTCTTACTATATTTCTCACCAGTTACACAAGCATGTTCGTGCCTGAACAGTGTAGTAAAGAAATTTTATATGGCAAAGTCTCTTATCATCCTAACTATATATATATATATACGCCATACCAACCTTTCTGCCATAATAATACCTTAATATTTCAAATGTCCAGAGGGAGTAACCTCTTGATTATATTCTTGATTTTTCACATTTCTATATCCACCTCTACCATATATATCCACAAACCTCTTTTCATCTAAACTTTCAAAAATATCTATATTAGATTTCACTCTTTCTTTCTCTCTCCGCCTTTTGCTCACTTTGCTCTGCCTTCATCATTCACTTCCCAAAACAACACTACCAAATTCATGGGTCTTAGAGACATTGGTGCTTCACTGCCCCCAGGGTTTCGCTTTTATCCCAGTGACGAGGAGTTGGTCCTTCATTACCTCTACAAAAAGGTCACAAATGAGGAAATTCTAAAGGGTACCCTCATGGAAATCGACTTGCATACATGCGAGCCATGGCAACTTCCAGGTATAAATCATATATATTTTAAATCATCCTTGCTTGATCTAGATAATTTACACGATTCTTGAAAAATCTTGGTTTTGTTCTACATGCATGAAGTTATGTGATTGTATTAGTAGAATCATCACAATGTTTACTTCACATTCACAAACGAGAGCCTATAGTTTACCTTGCTTGCTCATGAACATGGTGTTTCTAGCTTCAGTTCTGACTAAAAAAAATCCGTTCAAGGCTTTCTTTTTTTTCTTAACAAATAAGATCAAAACAATTCAAGAAATTAACATAGTTGTTAGAGGAACATGTCTAGAGTATATAGTAATAACAAAGTAGCAGATCTTTGCCTCGAGAAGAGGCAAAACTGAGAAGACAACAAAACTGAATGGATAAGAGTTTGAGGAGGGTGTGTTACAGTTATGTTATTCGAGTAATAGTTTATTCAGTTCTTCAATGATTAAGGCAGCGACAACTCGATCAATATTGTCTCTGTCAGTATATAAATAATCATTTCTGTTCTTTATAGTAATAAATATTCTATCACAACTTGATTTCTGTATTCAAATGCATCATCAACTTGTTTTTCAGAATTTTTAAAACTATTTTACATATTCATGGTTTCTTTGAACTGTATATACCCAAGGAGATGGGTGTGAAATCATCTTTTCTTGAAAAACATATGACTATGTGTGCCTTTATAATTGCTTTTGTCCTTTTGAAGTTTGTACATAGTTGTTTTTTGCTGTAAGCGCGTCGTCACAAGCACGTTCAATTTTTATATCGTAGATAAATCTATATGAAGATCATAACGAAGACTTTTGTCTGCCTGCTGTGCAGATTCTATATTCCTTTTTCTTTAATCCTATTTATTCCCTTACAAGCCATTTTCCATCATTGTCTATTTCCACGGTTAATTAATTCTTCCACAGTAGAATAAATAGTGTTTTTCATCACCCAGATAATTATTATTTTTGTCTTTTTTGTACTTTTTACACCAAGATAATGTACCCTTTTGAAGTACAAGTACAATTAATACTCTACCTCTTTTTTGTCCCTCGGTTATTTTGGAAAATCTGTTTTTAGTTTCAAAACAAATGTGATTTACATGCATGTCCCATATCTATACATGAGGGTCCTTCTCATGTGCAAATATCGTCTCTATTGCATGGTTAGTTACACCACCACCAGCAAAACCGTGGAGACCAAACATTGTTCGATGCTCTGCATGAATACCTATAAATCACAGATGCACATGCACCACATATTATTTGTTTCATATTCAAATGTTTTGGCTTCTTGCTCATCATCAGGCCCTCGATTAGATAAATATAACTATACCAACATTCATTTAGTACTTCTTTGATGTTGTAATTAAAGCAAAATAAATCGACCATTTTTAAAACAAAAACAAATGCACTTACAGCTAGGGAAATCATATTATTTATCAATCGCATACTATATATTATACTATTCGTGTTTGGTTCTATATATTTAACCTACTGTTTGTTTGGTTTTCTCATCTTTCACCCGATCATGTGTTCCAAAGTTAAGTTTATCGAGAAATAAGAAAATATTACTAATTAAATCTCTGCTTACAGCCAATGCAACTAATTTTTTTTTCCAGCAAAGAATTATATATATATATATATATATGAAGAATTCATGCCCTCTACATGGACTGATTGATCTAATTCATGCTTGTATAATAATCATTTGAATTATACACACATATATAGATAATTAACGTTTGCAATATATATTCTCTAGAAAAATAATTGTTTACCTTCTAAAATCTCTCCATGTTTTTCATATAAAAAATAAATGATTATTTTTTTCATAATAAAACAAAGCCTCTGTATATTCGTTAAAATAATTCAATTATTTGTATCAATTATTTATTGCATTGATGTCATGTTTTTTTTTTTTTAATTCAGACAAAAAGGATAGATTCTAAACATTTTAAGGTTAGAGATTAACTAGTTTACGAAAGAGAAAACATGTTAAGTGTATAGATTTTCTAGTCTATGGGAGAGTAAAATATTTTTAGTGTATAGATTGACAAACTAATTGATTTAAGAATATTCGAAAACATTGAATTCGTATCTCTGATCATTTCACTTTTCTTGGCCATGATTATTTACTATTTAAGCGACTTTGTCTCTTGTCAAGATTCTTACGCATACTATTATACAATTTTAAAATAAAATAATTGGCATGATGAATATAAGTACATAATATAATGGTGACTGAATACACTAAAAGAAAGATTACAGCACCTTTTAGTTATAAAGGACTGGTGCTTGTTGTTTTTACGTAATCACATAGTCCACAAATTCATGTGAAGTAAAAAGAGGTAAAAAGAGGTAAAAAGAAGGTAAAAAGTAGTATGAGAAAGCTCACAGGGTACGCAATCACATATACAAGGTATAATTAAACAAATTAAAACTACGTGTTTAGGTAATGTTTATCTGATTGGATTGAAAATTGGAAATGGTATGTGATTTATGCTAGGTGACATGTGATGGTGATTAAACAGAAGACCTAATTATTATGGTGATAATACTAATAATTATATTTGTTGGAGAGAATTAATTAATTGTACATAATGATAGTACATATCTATCTATATATCTATAAACCTATGCATTTTGATGGAATTATATATACCTACCTTAGTCATGCTTTGTCCATTTGCTACCAAAAACTGACCCATCATGTGTTCATGCATGCGTGCTCTACAGAGGTGGCTAAGCTTAACGCAAACGAATGGTACTTCTTCAGCTTTCGTGACCGCAAATATGCAACCGGCTACCGAACGAATCGTGCAACGACATCTGGCTATTGGAAAGCCACGGGAAAGGATCGTACGGTTTTTGACCCCTCCACGCGTGAGGTTGTAGGGATGAGGAAGACTTTGGTGTTCTACAGGAACAGGGCCCCGAATGGCATCAAAACGGGTTGGATCATGCACGAGTTTCGCTTGGAGACGCCACATATGCCCCCTAAGGTTCGTTTTCGTTTTCACCTCTCAATTTTAATCAAGATTAGGGCATGGAAAGCTAATGATTGTATAGTTTATAGTTTTGAATTAAGATTTAACAAGTGTAGTGATGATAAGGGTTGTGATGGAATATGATAGAATAGAATATATTCGTTAATAGAAGGTTGTCTTTGGCGTGTGTTGTTGGTAATTAGGTGAAAAATGTTGTTGATTGCAGGAGGACTGGGTTTTGTGTAGAGTGTTTCACAAAGGAAAAGCAGACAACGTTAACAGTGCCAAACTCATGTATGAGAACACAGTTCCATCCCTAACTCTGGCTTCGTCATCTCCAACCAACCAAACCATTGGGTATAACCAACTTCCCCATTTCTCTTCCTCAATCACACCCCATCATAATCATTACCATCATCATCATCATCATCAAAATCAAACCCAAAACAACAACTCCTTCATGGGTGTCCTTCACTTTTCTAGGGAAACAAATGCAAACTCTAGCACCATCACTCAGATAAGTCCCAAATGTGATGATGGCTATGGCTTTCTATGGGACATGGAGATCGAAGAAAATAGCTTCCATGATGCCGTGGCCTCCAACACGGTCGACGGAATGAGATTCGAGGTTGATAATAATAGTGTGGTCTTGTTATGAAAAAGCAGAAAAAATAAAAAAAGTTAAATGTGTACATAATATATATATATATACCTATATATATTGTGGTTCATATATGCGTAAGTTACGGAAAATTGTTGGTGTGATGTGATAATGGTGTTTAGCTTTAGGGGGCAAGTCACGTGATTGGAGTGGGATCGGTTGTTCCATGGTTGGGCCACTATTCAAGTGCTATATACCAGTGTTGTTAATTAGTTTTTTTTTTTCGTATTAATATTATTATTTTTTGGGTGGGAAAGGTTATTTATATATACATTTAGCATTTGTAGATGAAGATAGTGATAGATACCTTAATATATGTACCATTTGTTAATTTATAATTCATATATATTATTACTGTTCACTCCATGATTATATAAATTGCTCTCTTTCTAAATTATTTAAACTAGGATGTTTGAAGTGGCAAATATTCTAGATACATATAATAATAATAATAATAACAGTAAAAAAAAGTGTAACGACACCAAGTTGATAACATATTATTTTATCAATCCTTATGTTTGAAAACCGAGACAACGTTCTCCATTTCTGTTGCAATGCCAAAAGGCTTGCTTTCTTAAGGGAGACGACGATAGATAAAAAGTGGAATAGAGTGGGAGGAAGATGTTCAAGTATTATGAACGAAGGGATTACAACAAAAAACAATGGCAGGGAAAATATGATATGTGGAAGATTTTTAGAAGATGGGAAAGGGCGTGCAATAAATTTTTATATCTAGAAAATTAAACCACAAAGGGGCAAGATTCGGATTTGTTCGATTTCCTGATGATGCTAGAAATCCGGAATGGAAATGCCAAAATTCATGTTATAACAAACTATACAGAAGAAATGCAAGAACATAGCCGATGGAAAAATGAACTCAAACAAAGCCAACCAAAAAGGAAAGTAGAAGTGTGCCAGCCAAGCCATGCTCAAGCGATAACGGATGGAAACAGGACCACCATTATCAAAGAAAACTGGAATGGCGTCGAATTTAATGTGGAGGAAGAAGAAATTGATTGGGTGAAGGAAAGTTATATATATATATTAGAAGTCTTAGCCACGCCAACCAAATGGATACTCAAAAATGCATCTTCATTTAGTTTTTAATATTGATTTCTTAATTGGTTTTTTAAATTATAATAATTAAAATTTATTATAATTAAACTTATTTAATGTGAGATATAAAAACTTATTAAAAATAGTTTTTTCATTTTATAAATATTTTTTGGATATTTTGAGGCATCAACTAAGTTGAGCTCAATATATGAAAATAAATGGGTTAAAGTTTCACAAATGTTCTTTGGATATTTCGATGTGTGTTAGTGCAGTAGTAACTAAGTTGAACTCACTGAGGTGTGAAAATAATATTTTAATTAAGATTTGTTATAATTGAATTTATTTAGTGTGAGATAAAAAAACATGTTAAAAATGGCTTTTTAGTTTCATAAGTGTTCTTTGGATATTTTGATGTTATAGTTGCAGTTAAATTGAGCTCATTGAGATATGAAAATAAATTGATTAAAGTTTTATGACACCTTTAAGAAACATATTCTTTACGTTATTGACATGGAAGAAGAATTGTTTTCAGAGTCTTCTAATTTCATTCTTTAAAGGGAAGAAACATGTTCTTTTTCCCCTCCATCATTGATACGATATTACTACCAAGCTATTGGTTAAAATGGTTGTAGTTGGTTTCTTAACAGCAACTTAACATACTATCTCAACATATTTGAAAAACATTGGTGTCGGTTAATTATAAAAATGAGAAATAAGTATCATAGATAAACTTTTATTTTTATTAGACATAGATAAGAGATTTATTTTAATATGTGCAATATTTTCATATTATTTAAAAATTAAAGTTAACAACAATTTAAATACATGTTTTAATTATCAAAATAATATTTTTTAAGACAAAATCGTCACAAAACTCCTAAATAAACCACACCTTAAATACAATTGTTAATTTTAAAGATATTATTTTAATAAATTTGAATTACAAAATAAAAATGCAATTTAATTCTTTAATAAATATGAGACAGCAGTTATAGGAAGAATATAAAAATAAAATAATAAGGAGGAACATAACATATGGGATATTGAACGTGATTGCTCGCTAATTATTTAAGTTTTGAAACTTTGCCAAACCAAGTTGACTCAAGAATACATTATAAACTTGAATTATTGTGTCTTCCCCAGCATGACACGTTAATAGATTTTAAGATTATTTTCTTATTAATTGTATTGAAAGATAAACATTTCAGCACTCAAAATTCTTTTATATTTTTTACCTTTTTTATTATGTACTTATGACGACACAAACAAAATAGATATAAATATTGTAAATTAAATACTTTATATTACTTTCCAAAATAACCAGTGAATATATTTTTTATACATTAAATATTGTCTTTTTCTCGCAGAAATTTTTATTTTTTAACTTTACGAAGACATAATATAATTTCCTGAAGTTTTTTTTTAAAAAAACAAAATTATGTGGGTGGTTAATGGTGAAGCATGCTTTTTTATTGCAACGGGTTCGGTTCCCTATTTTCAACGGGAATCTTCCGTCTATTCATGCATCTTAAGAGACATAAACTAGACTAGGTCTCGACATATATGATATTTTTCAATAATCAATCTCTATAAAATTTCATATTATTGGTATCATTTCAAACCCTTAATTAATGTTATGCCTCATTATTAGAATTGAATGAAAATAAAGCACCCCTAAGACATGTTAAAATGGCAAAAAAATTATGCCAATAATTTTACAATTTATCATTAAGCATTGGTTATAAAATACAATAATATATGACCCAGATTACATCACATCAGGTTCCTTAACTTTTAAAAACAAATCCATATTTCTTTTCTGTTCAAACTTATGCCATTAGTTTTATAATTAGTCAATAAGAATGGGCCATAAAATATACTATATGTAAATTAAAAGTATTAATATTTATTTATTAACTGGGTTGATTTGAGTAAAAGTAGTAGCATCTTTACTTTTTGAAAACTGAGATTCGGTTCAACCTTTTATTAATAATGAAATGAAATTAAATAAATAATAAGACTAAAAAGTTATAATTAAGCCTACAAACTAAAGTGCTTAATATTATATATTTAACGTAGTTATAAATTATTCATCAAGATCAATACATTTCTCTCATTTATATTAGCAGTAGCGATTCTTTAAATCTGTATGACTTTCCTGTGAGTACCCAATACGATTTAGGGTGTATTAAGCAAAAAAATAAAGTTTGATTAACAATAATTTAATACATCAAACTTTATATAGTCTATTTCAAAACATTGTTAGTGTACAATGAATCTTATTTCTAATGGATATAAGATTAAACATGATAAAAAATTTCTGCCAGTAATGAAAATAGTGTGAGAAATTGGACATCTTAAGCTACAATAAGTGAAACACATATCCTTTTATTTATAGATTTATGCGATTAATATTTCTAACAATGGTCAACATATTGCCCAAAGTATATGACTTAATTAATCCAGTTCCAACGTACCATTGATAAATTTAATCATAGTTACCTTTTAAAGTCAAAATATTCATTTCGAGAACACATACATCAACTACTATACTCTTTTCAACTTATATAACTAAATTCAAACATATTAACCAGATGCATTAAGCACAATAAACTACACAATAAAATTAGAAAAAACATTAATCGTCTTTGGGTTTATATCCAATGAAAAAATTAATCTAATCCGTTAAGAGCACGATAACTTTTTTACTGTATTAAGTCTGGAAAAAATCCACTAAATACATATAAGGTTGGTCAAGTAATGAAAGTTAGAAGATATAAGATTATGAGTTCAATTCTTTTACTAATATTTAGAAAATATAAAATTGGTTTAAAGGATTTAGAAGAGAAAATAATAAAGGTTGTGGACTCAACTTCTTTTACTAACAAATTAACAATTAATATCTATCAATAAAAAAAAAGAAGAAATCATAATTCTCTATATAAAATAATTTAGAGAGACTCTTGTACATAATCTTCCCAAAACCAATTTCAATTCTAAAGCATCCAATTCATTTATTTCAACAAATTTAAAAAGCATTAAATAATACATATAAAATTCAATTTTTATAGTAACACTCTTATACTCTAATTTAGGTTCAATACTAATTTTGGTTCTTAATTTTGTTAGTTGTTTTCAAAGTGGTCCTTCTATCTTTGAATTGTTTGAGTGGTCATGTTTTGTAAAAATTGTTCAAATTGATCTTTTTTACTGACGGCGTTACAAACGCTAACTTATAATGTCTGACTTAATGACCTGTCTAGTTTTTCATCAAGCGAATTGAGGTTAATTAATTATTGGGGTTAATTAATTTCTCTTTTGTTAGTTCAAATTCCAAAGGGTACTTTGCCCTTTACCTTAATCAGAGTTTTAGAAACTCTTTGCTTCCATTTTCGGGACTTCCTTTTTCTCAAACAAACCTAGCAGTGTGGGTTCCTTGTCGCGCAAGGAGACACACTCCTCCTTCCTCTCCTCTGTTTTTGGGTTAACATCGTAGGGAACATTTCTTCTTTCCTTCTTCTTGTTCTGGATTTGTTCTAGTTTTGTTTGTATTAGGGCTCCAAATTGAGATTCTATTTTTAGGATTCTGATCTCGCAATGTTGGGTTTCTTTCTTTGGATTGAGTTTCTATTTTTTTTTTCTTTACAGGTTAGTAGCGTAATGGTTGAGGTTCTTTGTGATCTTGTGATTTAGGGATTTTAGGGTTTTTGTTTGGGATTGAGGGTTCTGATTTAGGAATTTCTTGTATGTTGTTTCTCCTCTATAGATTGTTAATGCGATTTGGGGGTTAGGGTTTTTGAATTGGGGTTTTGTTTTCTGATTTCACGTTTTGGGATTATATGCAATTGTATTTTGAACTTGCACTTTGGGGGGTTTTTTTGAATCAGTAATCTTACATTTTGGGGTTCTTTAGGTTTTGTTTATGAAATAAATATTTGACGATGGATTGCTTTAAACCTAATTATAATTTTCTTTAACCTTAACTTTAACTTTTTCACATCAATAATTTTAAGTTTTAACATTTCCACGTCAATTGATCTAAATTTTTCATGTAATGAATAATTGGACAGATCAGGTGGACATGATGTCGTTAACGTTTTTAATGTCATTAGTAAAAAAAAGACCAACTTGAGTCATTTTTACAAAACATATTACTCTAAACAACTCAAAAATAAGAGGACTTTGAACACAACTAACAAAATTAGAGACTAAAATTTGTATTAAGCCTTTAATTTAATAATGTGAAATCAAATTGAAGTGTAAAACCAGTAACAATACCTACTCTACCAAAAATTTCTTGCAACCCT